GCAGCAGCCTTTGCCACAGCCCCCGTGGCACAGAGGGGCAGTGTCGGTCCCGCACCTCGGCCTCTTCTCTGCCGGCCTTGGGCGACCTTGGCTTTTCCTGGCAGCCTCGCACAGATCCCTGCGTCGCTGGAGCAAGTCCCTCGCGGCCCCAGCTGCTGAGGGGCCACTCTGTAACCTGAACCTGTTTCTCGCAGGCGGACGCCAAGAAATGCCCCCGCTTGGACCCACCCGACATGCAGGAAGGACCTGGCCACCCAGCTGGTGAGTCGGAGAAAGGAAGTCAGTAGCTGCCTTGGGACATGCTGCTTGTTGCCTTCTACCATGCAAAAGCTCTGCGCCCGGGGACAAGCTGGATGAGACCCTGCACACAAAAGGCGCTATCCAGCTCTCTCCACCTGATTTCCTACCCTGAGTTTGGCTTTCCTTTTGCTTGCAGCAGAGGGAGTAAAGGCAAGAAGGCAGGGGATATCCTGGCCCCCTGCTCGGAAAGGAACCCCTGCCAACCGGGACGGCCCAGGTCACCTCGACCCTGGCCCCAGCGTCGCTCTCTTTGGCCGGCCGCTGGCAGCTCTCTGCGGGGAAGATGGGAACCTGGCCCAGCCCGTCCAGGTAAGCAAGCCTGCCCACACAGGCGCGCTGCTTCTGGCTTCTCGTGCCAGGCAGCATCCCCAGCTCTCGTGCCTGGGCTCTTAAGAAGGAGGCGATGTGGGTGTTTCCCCTCCACATGCACTGCTGACACACAGGGCCTGAAGGCCAGCTCCCATGCCAGAGGAGGAAATGCCAGGTGACTGCCAGGGTAAGGGGCATGCAGCAGCTACGAGATACTAACTGTAGCAAAGCAGAGCGTGCCTCCAAGTCAACGAGTGTCCATTTCTTCCTGCAGCATCTCCTGGCTATACTGTACGAGAAAGGGCCTGACACTGAGGGCATCTTCAGGAAAGCGGCCAACGAGAGGGCCCGCAGGGAGCTGAAGGAGGTCCTTGACCAGGGTGAGAATGCTCACCTGGACAGCAGACCTGTGCACCTCTTGGCAGTGGTGCTCAAGGTGAATTCCTCTGACTTGGAGCTCTCAGATTAGCCCGTGGCTCATCTGCATGGGCCCCTGTCAGGGCCGCAACTCAGCTCGGTGGGACTCCAAGCTGAAACCACACTGAAGCCAAACTCAGTGGTGCAGGCCCAGGACTGTTCTGCCCCTGATTCCTCACATGTCCACGCGAAAGTCACTTCCTCCTTTTGGCCTGGCCTCGCGCAGCCCCCTCTGCTCTCAGTGCTCAGGGGCGCCTTTGTGAGCAGGGAGCTCCAACCAAGCAGCCTCTGAGTGAGCCCAAGTCACGCCGATGCTCCCTCTCTGCTCACTGGCACTGTCCAGGGGCTCATTAGAGTCCCTTGGCCTTGCAGGACTTCCTCCGAAACATCCCCGCCAAGCTCCTCTCCGACAACCTCTTTGACGAGCGGATGCTAGCGCTGGAGAAGCCGAGCCAGCAGGACAAGATTGACAAGCTGAGAGAGTAAGTTTTTCAACCAGTGCCTCTTGTGCCTTTTCTGGAGCCTCTTGTGCCAGCATCGTGGGCCTCTGCCAGCCCCACAACTTCTCTGGAGAATGGGAGTGTCCTGTAGAGACCTGTCGTCATTTGTGTCGGCTTGCTGTTGCTCCTGTGGGGGCTGCGTTGGAGGGAAAACGGCCCCGAGAACCACTTCTCTCCCAGTAACACTTCCTCTACGAAAACAGGAGGAAATGTCAGTGGTCAATAAAGGTTGCTGCAGTGACGAAGGACCGCAGCAAGCAGTCCTGCATGACTGCGGCCTTTTGCTTGCGTTCCCACAGGGTAGCTGACAACCTGCCGAGTGCAAACCTCCTCTTGCTCCAGCGCTTGCTCGCTGTGCTCCACCACATCAGCGAAAAGGCAGAGACCAGCAAAAGGGATGCCAGCAACCTTGCCATCGGCGTGGGGCCAAACCTGCTGAGCCTTGACATGGGCAACGTGCTCCCACTGGCAGCGCAGAAGGAGAGGAATGACAAGGTCTGTTGAATTCCCCCCAAGAGCTACTGCCTTGGGGGCAGCTCTGGGCCACCCCCACACATCCCCCCGCCCTTGCAAAAGCTCAGTGAAGCAGCACCTCTGAACAGCGAGACCGCCCCTCGGCAGGACGATCTGCAATGCGACAGGCAAATCTCAGAAACCAGTGGTTGTCTGTGTGCAGGT